TAAGTAACATTTATAGAATACTTACTATGTACAAAACACTGAACTTCAGGCTTTATTTACGCCCACTCTATGAGGCAGAGTGTTCTTTATTATGATTAAAGTGGAACATAGAAAGATTAAATAATTAATTTGGGATTATACAAGTGGTGAATTGGGGAGCCAAGACTTAAGGCAGGGAGCTTAGCTCTAAGTCATTATGTTACATTTCTCCTGCTTAAAATCCTTCCATTGGATTTTCCACTGTACTTCAAATTAAACTCCCTGTTCATAGTTTGCAAGGTCATATATGAGGGGTGCCTTCATCTCCCACCACTTATTCCCTGGCTTGCTTTCTTCAACCCCACCAACTTCCCCTGGCTGCTCATTCATGCCCAGCACATTCCTACCTCAGGGCCTTTGCATCTGGAGTAATCATTGTCCAATCTCAGAACTGTCTCTTAGCCATTGTGCTGTGCTAAGTGGACTCAGAGAGATTCCAAGAGGTTCAGAGAGCATAGGGAATGGGAAACTGCTTTGAAAATTGCTAGATTTTTTTTTAAGTAAAGAATTCTTCTTCAGGTCACTATTTCCTTCTCTAGTAATATTCTGGCTTACTGACTTTATAAGGATGCTTTGTGAAGTGCCAATGAGAGAATGATGGCGAATCATTTATAAAAGTGAAAGGCTTTACCTACTAGAAGGGCCTGAAAAGATTATTTTCCATGCCAGGGGCTTCTCAAAACTCCCTTCCTCTCCCTCAAGTTTGACATTAATATTGCTGACAGGAAGGGGGAGGGGGGGCCGCAGGGGACCTAGGGACTCTGTGTCCCAGTAATTAAACATGTCGGGACTGAAGCGCTGCCAGCAGCAGCATCTGGTTGCAATTACCAGAGGGGACCAAAGTGATTAGTCACCTTTATAGTGAGAGCCAGGCAGGAACCCTGGGCTCTTCCCTGGAGAGGGCCTTCCAAGCAAGCCCAGTCCCTTTCCCTGCTCCTACCCCAGGCCTGGGCGTTCCCTGGTCCGCAGACAATAGCCGTGCCTCAAGACTCCTCCAGGTCCCCCAAGTTCCAGCCCATTGGGCTAAAAGCTAGAATAACCCATGTCCTCCCACCCACCACTCCACATCTTCTTATCAACTTCTATAGATCACAGTAGTAGGATGCCTCAAATATGTTGAGACAGAAATTAGCCTTTAGTAAATTAATCTTAATTTTTTTATCGTATTGTTTATCTGTAAAATAGGTGTGTTAATGGTACCTTCATCAAAGAGCTCTTGGGAAAATAAATAAGATTAAAAAATGCAAAAGAAGACAAAGGCTAGTGTCTAGAAAAGATGCTCAAAATTAGTTGCTTTTTTTTTTTTTGGTCAGTCATGGGGCTTGAACTCGGCCTGGGCGCTGTCCCTCAGCTCTTCAGCTCAAAGCAAGCGCTCTACCACTTTAGCCACTGCGCCACTTCCGGCTTTCTGGTAGTTTAGTAGAGGTAAGTGTTTCAGGTACTTTCTTGCCCTGGCTTTGAATGGCAATGCTCAGATCTCAGCCTCCTGCATAGCTAGGATTACAGGCGTGAGCCACTGGCCCCCGACTTAATTAGTTGCTATTAACATCTGTTAGAGGGGCTGGGAAGATGGCTCAGTGGTACAGTGCTTGCCTCACATGCATGAGGCCCTGGGTTTGATTCCTCAGCACCACATAAACAGAAAAAAAACAGAAGTAGCACTGTGGCTCAAGTGGTAGAGTGCTAGTCTTGAGCTGAAGAGCTAAGGGACAGCGCCCAGGCCTAGAGTTCAAGCCCCACAACTGACAAAAAAATAATCTGTTAGAGTCTAGGCTGATGCCTTTTAATAATTCATTCCATTGAATACCCATCAAAACTCTATGTGAAGTTAAGTACTGTCTTTATTCCTGGTTAGAGTTTCAGAGAGACTGGATTCCCAAGATCATACTGTTTGTGAATAGCAGAAGCAGGATTCAAAACTAGGTCTGAGCTGGGGAGCATGAGTCAAATGGTAGAACACTAGCCTACAAAGTGCAGGGTCCTAAGTTCAAACCCCAGTATTACCAAACAAAACAAGTACTGTAAAAGACAAAAACAGGTCTGTCTGCAGAGTCCTTGGTCTTAGTCAAACTATGTATAGGGACATTTATTCATTTATCTTCTCTTTTATTCACTGGATTGAATTTACAAAATGCCAAAGAAGTGGCGAGACAAAATCCTTCCCTTTAAGGAACTCGGAGTCCAGCAGAGAAGGTACAATATGTGAAAAATGATGGCTTTTCTATACAAGAATCCATTCAACATTCATTCATTCATTCATACAACACATACTGCGAATCTGCTGTGTCCTGGGCACTAGGCCAAGCATGGGGAATAATTGAAAAGAAAATATGGTACCGTCTGGTTATAATCTATTAGGGAAGACAGATATGTACATAAATTATAATTCGGATAAAGAATTAAGTTATAATAAAAATATGAAAAGAGGAGATGGGCCAGAATAGCAAAAAGTACAGACAATGTATGGTGGCAGTTTGTAAGGGGGCATACCATTTCTGGGGGTTCAGGAACAGCATCATGGGGAGGAGCAGTTTTATTTTATGTGTGTGTCTGCAGGGACTGGGACTTGAACTTAGGGTCTGAGTGCTGTCCCTGAGCTTTTTCATTAGCTCTCTGCCACTTGAGTCATAGTTTTACTTCTGGTTTTTTGGTGGTTAATTGGAGATAAGAGCTTCAAAAACTTTCCTGCCTAGGCTGGGTTTGAACTATGATCCTCAGATCTCAGCCTCCTGAATAGCCATAGGCATGAGTAGGTTTTATTTATGTAGAGGAGGATTAGAACACAGAGTTCCTGGACTGAGGAGTCAGTTATATAGGAAATAATTACAGCAGTGGTAAAGAGAGCAAGGGATTGAGTCAATAGAGAGAGGAAGATGCCAGAGGGGGCTGCTAGAGGGGCCCAAATGAACTGGAAAGCAGTGTTTGAGCATATGCTCTGCACATACAAAGGCATCACATCAGAAACAACAACAAAACGATATCCTGAAGCTGAATATACAAATGGTCTACTTGTGTTTCCCTGATGATGTTTGTGTGGGGGGGGTCTCTGTTCTTCAAACTTCAGCAGCATGATCTGGCAAGCTATAACTCTTAGGTCAGGAAAGACCCACCTCAAGTGATCGGATCCCCCAGCAATGTAGGGGAAGAAAAGATTCAGGAAGAATATCACATAACTACTGTTTCTCCCACTGCCATCCCTTTTATACTGTAACAATTGTGGGGCAATGCAGAGAGGAGTAATTGGCTCCATCTGGGAATCAGGGACAGCTTCCTGGAGGAGGTAAATTTGCCATTGAACCACTCAGGATGAGGAGGGCTTCCTCCTGATGTGAGAGGGTGCTATTCTAGGTGAAGGGAGTAGCTTCCTTTGAGACCCTTGGTAAATTTCCCTGTAGGCTTCCCCAAAAGAAGGAGGAGTTAGTATTTCCACAAGGCACTTGAAGAAATTCTTGAGTCTAGCTGTTAATTCAGATTTTCTCCAGCTACCAGAAACCTCTCCTGAAGGAGTCAACTTCTTCAGCCTCCTGCAGGGGTCACTGCTGCCCCAGGCTGGACTGCCACCTCTAGATTCTGCTAATCTATTCTAAGAAATCTCCCAAAATGTCTTTGCTGGGGTAAGTGGTAAGGAGGTGACTCTTTAGCACTCTCAAACCTGGAAGAGGGGGTACACTTTGGACATGCCTCTAATCAAAGAGGGGGATCCCAGGATGGCACCACCCCCAAACCTGAAGGAAGGGTACACCCTGAAGACCTGCCTCCAACCAAAGAGGGGTATCCATGGTATCAAGCACTCCCAAGCCTGATTAGCCTCCAGACTCAGCTAATCCATTCTAAGAAATCTCCCAGGACGTCTTTGCTGGGGTAGTGGTAAAGGTACACCTTGGGCCTGCCTCTAGCCAAAGAGGGGGCTCATGAATGGCAATGCCTGAAGGAAGCATTTGAGCTCAGCCAATGACACTGGGGATGGGGAGGAGGGAGAGGGAGGAGGGGCAATGATACTTTGTTCTGTCTTTGGGTCAGCACAAGTTTATTAAAATAAAAGAAACTGGGTAAATGCTGCCATCTGTGCCCCCTCCCAGCACACACACACACACACACACACACACACACACACACAGAGTCAGGTCCCAGACTAAGGTGCAGGGCTTAAAACTGCTTTAAAAACATTGCAAGGACTTCACTGAAAAACCACCGTCCCTGGACTGCTGCAGTTTCAAATCTCCAAGACCTCCTCAGGATGGTTGGGGTGGGCTGCTCTATGAGATGGAGGTGAGGACCCCTGAGGCTGCTCGGGGGACTAGGAGGCCCCCTAAACCCGAGTCCCACTATAGAGCTCAGTGCCAAGAGCCCCCGTGAGCTGTGGCCTCAAAAGGGCAGCAGTGATTTTTTTTTCACATAAATATATCGTCCTGAAATGAATTTAGACAGCATGACATCAGAGTAATTAAATTGGTTTGGGTTGGAATTCCGTTTCCAATTCCTGAGTTCAGGTTTGTAAAAGATTTTTCTGAGCACCTGCAGGCCTCTGAGAGAGAGAGAGAGAGAGAGAGAGAGAGAGAGAGAGAGAGAAGTATTTTCACTGGAAAGGATTCAAAACTAGAGGGGGAAAAAAAACTGGAGCACACAGGCAGCATTACGCCATTCTTCCTTCTTGGAAAAATCCCTCAGCCTTATACAAGGCTCCTTCAAGCCCTCAGTCAGTTGTGCGGGAGAAAGGGGGGCGGTCGGCTTTCTCCTTTCAAGAACGAGTTATTTTCAGCTGCTGACTGGAGACGGTGCACGTCTGGATACGGGAGCCTTTCCACTATGGGACTGGATACAGACACACGCCCGGCGGACTTGAAGAGTCTCAGACTGAGCACACAGCCCTTCCTCCTGCTGCCACCCCTGCTTCTGAAGATCTGCTCCTTTCATGGTTTTTCCTGCCAAGCCAGAGGCACCTTCGCTGCTGCTGCCAGAGGATGAGACTCCCTAAACTCCTCACTTTCTTGCTTTGGCACCTGGCTTGGCTGGACCTGGAATTCATCTGCTTTGTGTTGGGTGCCCCCGACTTGGTCCAGAGACCCCCGGGGGCCAGGCCAGGACTGGCCAAAGCAGAGACCAAGGAGAGAACCCCTCTGGCCCGGAACATCTTTAGACCAGGGGGTCAGAGTTACGGTACAGGGGGCACCAATGCCAGGGCAAAGGGAGGTCCCGGGCAGACACAAATCAAGAAGGATGAATCAAGAAAGGTGCCTCCCAGATCTGGTGGTCCTGAATCTAAACCAGGACCCCTTCCCCAAACCAGGCAGGCTGCAGCTCGGACTGTAACCCCCAAAGGACAACTTCCTGGGGGTAAGGCACTCCCAAAAGCAGGATCCGTCCCCAGCTCTTTCCTGCTGAAGAAGGCCAGGGACCCCGGGCCCCCTCGAAGTGAACCCAAGGAGTCCTTCCGTCCGCCTCCCATCACGCCCCATGAGTACATGCTTTCGCTGTACAGGACGCTGTCCGATGCTGACAGAAAGGGAGGCAACAGCAGCGTGAAGTTGGAGGCTGGCCTGGCCAACACCATCACCAGCTTTATTGACAAAGGGCAAGGTGAGGGGGGGTGGGGTGGCAGGGAGGGCACACCGACTGGCACCAAGGGGCTTCTAGAGCCCCAGTGCTGTGCAGGTGGGGTGCAGGTGGGGAGCAGGTGGGGAGCGGTATATGCGTGGTCCAGGGTGGGTGTCTGCGATCTATCTCCCATACCAGACTCAAGCTGCTGGCATAGTTAGCCCTGGAGGGGATCCAGGAATCACCCAGTCCAGTTTCTGCAAGGTGCACAGCTGGGTGCTAAAGCTTGGGGAAGAGACAAGACCTGCCAGTTGGTGGCAGCTGGAGACTAGACTCCACCACTCTGGATGACTGAGCCATGCTCTCTGCACCTACATGGGTTGGCCAAACTTTTCAGACTCTGGGGTTTGCTCCAATTTACAGCAGAGAGAAGTGAATCTTTGAGTCCTCATGCTTCTGCAATTTTGCCCTCAGGTTGGAGAGGCAGAGAAGGTGGGGTAGATGAAGCCAGAAAAGAGGGTATCTTGACATCATGGGAGGGTCTCACTGACCATGTGACTCTGGGAATTTGAGAAAGCGCTTGCCCCCGTTATGTTCTCCTTTTCCCATAGATACACCTATTTGGGGGGTTGAGTTTGCTGATTTCCGAGAGCCCTTCCAGTGTGAAAATTTTGTGTCCTATCCTAGCATATAACATTTTCATCGCTAACCCAGGAGAGTATCTGATCTCCTCCTTTCTCCTCACTATCTAGTATTACTGTCTCCACTGTTCCTCTTGACTTGCTGTGTGATCACACAGCCTGTTTCTGCATGATGTGAGGATTGCTCAGTTGTCTGCAGCTCATATGCTGTGTTCTGAGTCTTGGGGCTTTGGCTGGCAGGGTGGGGGAGGGGTTGGAGAGTGGGAGAGGTTCCTCATTAGGTCTGGCCTGTTGAGGAATGACAGGGGGTGGGGGAGGCACAGAGGCAGCAGGTCTGGCTGAGGTGGGGGAGGTGGCCTGGCTGCCTGCCCAACCAGAGAAAGCTGTGACCCCTTAAGGGCTCATAAAATAAGTTCTTGTGTTCACCCCCGCTCCCCACCCCCCCAGCACTAAGGGAGCTTGGGGAGGGGAAAGATGGAGGAGTTTAAAAGCCTAATTAGTTACCTTCTAGAGCAATATATGAAGGTTCCCCAATGGCAAATTGGTGTTTAGGAAGGAAGGCATGCTGATCAGAGATACAGCTGAGCTTCACACGCGACATGCACACATTCACAGAGCCTTATATTTTACACATATGTGAATGAATCATACATGCGCACACACATTCTTATGTACATATATGGAATTGTATACTATACACATATACAACATACACTCTTTGGGTATTCATACAAATCCAAATCCAAATATATATATACATATAATGTATTACTCACATATATTACATACTCAAACAATGTCTCTGTCTTAATGTCTGTTTCTCTCTCTGTCTCTCTGTCTCTGTCTCTGTTTCATACACACACACACACACACACACATACACAAACTATGGCACTTCCACACATCCAGCCAATGGAAGGCACACACAAAATTATTCGACCAATAAACTAGGGCAATTGGGTTGTAGGCCAGCTTTGTTATTAATTTGCTGTGTGACCTAAGTCAAGCTACTCCCCATCTCTATGCCTCGATCATAAAACAGGAACACTAAGATCTCCTTTAAATATAGTAGAAGTTCAGGACCAGGGCATAAAGATTCTAAGCTAGAGTTTCATCTCTGCTTTATTTTATTTTCCTAGGTAGGTGACCTTGAGCAAGTCACCTACCTTCTCTGAACTTCAGGTTCCTGCTCTGGAAAAATGGTTAATTTCAATGTTGACACAACTCTCTCCCCCACTGGAGCTATCATGTAGGGGAGAGGTAAGTAGAGGCAGTTTTAGGTGGATGAATCTAATACACATAGATGGTTGTTGACACACGTACCTGAGTCATTGAGCTCACTGGCCACCACACCTATTCATAACCACCACCACTCCGTTAGCTATGTAGGAAGCTCCTTCATTTTGAAAAGTGCTCTCAGTGGTTTGGGTGTTGGCCTCTGTCATAGTGGGGAAGAGGTTAAAGAGAGCGGGGCTTTCCCTGGAGTCCTTGAGGTGACCAGCTAGCTCCCTGGGTGAGGTTGCTGAAATTGACTTCTGGCTGTTCTCTCCAGATGACCGAGGTCCTGTGGTCAGGAAACAGAGGTACATGTTTGACATTAGTGCTCTGGAGAAGGATGGGCTGTTGGGAGCCGAGCTGAGGATCTTGCGGAAGAAGCCCTCTGACACAGCCAAGCCAGCAGCCCCTGGTGTCGGGCGGGCAGCCCAGCTGAAGCTGTCCAGCTGCCCCAGTGGCCGGCAGCCGGCAGCCTTGCTGGATGTACGCGCTGTGCCAGGCCTGGATGGATCTGGCTGGGAGGTGTTCGACATCTGGAAGCTCTTCCGAAATTTTAAGAACTCGGCCCAGCTGTGTCTGGAGCTGGAAGCCTGGGAACGGGGCCGGGCTGTGGACCTCCGTAGCCTGGGCTTTGACCGGACTGCCCGACAGGTCCATGAGAAGGCCCTGTTCTTGGTATTTGGCCGAACCAAGAAACGCGATCTATTCTTTAATGAGATCAAGGCTCGTTCTGGCCAGGATGACAAGACTGTGTATGAGTACCTGTTCAGCCAGCGGCGGAAACGAAGGGCCCCACTGGCCACTCGCCAGGGCAAGCGACCCAGCAAGAACCTCAAGGCCCGCTGCAGTCGGAAGGCCCTGCACGTCAACTTCAAGGACATGGGCTGGGACGACTGGATCATTGCCCCCCTTGAGTATGAGGCCTTCCATTGCGAAGGGCTGTGCGAGTTCCCCCTGCGCTCCCACCTGGAGCCCACAAACCATGCAGTCATTCAGACCCTGATGAACTCCATGGACCCCGAGTCCACACCACCTACCTGCTGTGTGCCCACGCGGCTGAGTCCCATCAGCATTCTCTTCATCGACTCTGCCAACAACGTGGTATATAAGCAGTACGAGGACATGGTTGTGGAGTCCTGTGGCTGCAGGTAGCAGCATTGGCCCTCTGTCTTCCAGGATTTGGCACATCCCGAGAACCCCTCCTCACACCCCTGGACACAGAGGGAATCCTGAAGTTGCAGCTAGAAGCATCTAGACACCCCACACAAAAGGGGATTGCAGCACACTCTCTGAGTGTGGCTCAGGCTCACAAGTCCTCCATCTAAGGATTTCTACCTTTCTGCTCCTTTGCTTAGCAAAGGACGAGGCCCAGGAGACCGATTTTGAATGGGATGGACACCTAGAAGATGGATTTTCCAATGTGACTCCGTTTGGAACGTATGAGGGTGATGTGTGATGTCCACATCACCTTGTAGGAGAGCCACAGGGGCCATTTCATCTTTGAATCTTTGTGCCTGGTGACTTTCTGCTCCCTCAGCAGATGAGATGCTAATTGGGTCTGGGTGGGAGAGAAGTGAAGAGGGCTTGGGCAGGAGTGAGGAGTATGAGGCTGTTAGACTGTTAGATTAAAATATACAATGATGAGATATAAAAACAAAACTGTGCCTAAAATGGTGGTGGCAGATTTCTTGTTTACCTCACGGGAGGGAGGACTCATGATCCCTTAAAGAATTCCTGGCCCAGGGAGAGAAGGTGGGTTGCCTCACTGTTTCCCAGGCCCTGAGCGCCACCCCCACTCCTGGGAACTGAAGCAGAATGGGACAGAGAATGAGACTGGGCAGGGCCACCTCTCACCTCTCACCCCATTTCTGTTCCTTCCAAAAGTCCATTGGTCCCTAGCTCCATCTGCTCCATTGGGGCCTGGAAATAGGGTTAGAGTTTTACATTCCACAGTCAAGTTTTTATTTCCAAAATGGATCTCTACATGAAAGGGATCTGGGGTGGTGGGGTGGTGTTGCTGTTATTTTATTTAAAATCATTCCCTCTTCATTCACCAGCATCTTCCCTATCCTCCACCCTGACTCCTACCCTATTCACAGAATAAACTGGGCCCTATTTAAAGGGCCTTCTTCTGCCTTTCTACTGGAGAATGTGGGCTGACAGGGTCTCTTCCTCCTTAAAGCGATACTTCCTTTATTTTGGTACCAGTTCTGGGGCTTGAACTCAGGGCCTGAGCAGTTCCTGAGCTGCTGCTGCTGCTTCTTCTTTATTTTTTTTTTTAAGGCTAGTGTTCTAGCACTTTGAGCCACAGCCCTACTTCTGGCTTTTTTGGTGATTATTTGGAGATTAGAATCTCACAGACTTTCCTACCTGGGCTGGCTTGAACCATGATCCTCAGATCTCAGCCTTCTGAGTAGCTAGCATTACAGGTGTGAGCTACCAGCACCTGGCTACAGCTCCTCAAGCAACCTTGACTGTGACCCCACTGTCCGTCAGCAGTAACCCTCCTCATTGCTCATCCATAAGTGCCCTCCACAACTGAAGCCAAAAATGAAGCCCCTTTCTTGCCATTTTCCCTTATCTAAGTATGTAATTATACACTAGATAAAGAATCTCCTGAGAGACCAATAATGCCAGGCACATTCTGACCATGTTTCCTGCCTGAAGAATGGCCCTGAGTGAACGCTTACTTCCTGTGCTCAGCTTGAGCTAAACTTTTTGAGGCTGTATGAAACATGAACATGATTAGGGGGAGGAACATAGCCCCCTGGTGGGGACATTTAGGCACCTGGATCCACAGGCTCAGGGATTCGAGGCTAGGTTCCACCTGGCTAAAGAGAGCCACAGGGAGAACTAGGAGAAGTCCAAGCCTCTGATTCCCACCCAGGGGGCCTCAAAAATTTCCCCACCTCTCTCCAACTGGGTCTTTGATTACTAAGGCTCCCAGCCAAAGCTGTCTCAAGAGGAGGGATGCCTGTCCAACTGTGGACAGATCTTGTGTCCTTACCCTCTAGGCCTGAAACTTTGGTTGTCAGGACTTGAAGTGAGAGCCCAATGCAGGGGTGGGGGTGGGAGGGTGGGACAGCCTATCTTTGAGCTGCCTCCTTGGTTTGGAGGCCATTACCTGTCCCAGAGGAGCCAGATTGAACCTGGAACAGAGCTCTTCCTGGCTGGGCTTCGTTGTAGTTGGCCAGTGGTGAGCCTGGAGCTTTGAGAGTAAATAAAGGAGCTGCCATGGTAGACAGAGGCCTGGTGTGTGTGAGGGGAGAATGAGCCTGAAAAGGAGGTGCTGGGCAGCCAAGGCGATGGCTGTGGATACAGGGAGAACAGTGTAGGGATGGAGACTCAAGGGCAGGGGATGGAGTCATAGAGTGGCATAGGCTGCCACACACACATTTTCTGGGTTGCATGTCCCGAGTTTCTTGGAAAGTTCTGATAGGACTGGAACGTCTTTTGCCTTCGTTGCTGAAAAGGATCATCTTAGCAGCAGCACTCTTTCAGTGGAAGGCCTGTACTTTGAATGGATGGTCATAGCTCTGGCTGCATACTGTAGAAACTTCTTTTTCCTCAATCTGCCTGAAAACTCTTTCACAAAGAAGCTGCTCAGATTGTGTACTCTTCCTCCTCAGACTCTAGAGATCCATCTGACCATTGCATTCCATCTTAACCTTTAGATCTGGGCGACAGCTCCTTGGAAAACATCTTCACCTCGGCCACTTCCAGCTCCAATCACAGGTATGTGTAGGACAGTCCTGCTCAAGAGTAAAGGGGTTCTAGTACACTTCACAATTCACACTCTCCCAATTCTGAAGGGTTCCAAAGTCAGCACAATTTCAAACTTCAGTCTGTCAATAAGAGTTAGAGACTCTGGACAAGAAAATTCTATGAGCCCCTGTTTCCTTGTTTGTAAAAAAAAAAAAGGAAGAAGGAAAAAAGGAAGGAAGAAAGGAAGGGAGGAATGAAGGAAGGAAGGAAGAAAAAAAGGAAGGAGGAAGGAAGAAACAAAGAAAACCAAGAGTCAGCAACATTCCTATTACATAGAACTGTGAGGACATGAAAGACACTCAACAGAGTAGCTGACACAGAGGTGGCACTCAATAAACACTAGCCATTGCTGTGCCTCAAATTGTCCTTAGAGGCATGCAGGATAGGAACTGTCACCTTCCCATCATTTCTGATACATAGAAAGCTGACACTCAGAGAGAGTGGGGATGGGGGCAGGCAACCAACCACACGTTTACTTGCTCCTTGGACCTACTCTTCTGAACCCCTGACTCCTGACTCCACTGACTCTGGTCCTGGCAAGCAGCTGTATCACCTCCTTGACTCTTGGCTCTCTGGCCTTAACAGCATCTCCTTGGGGACGCACCACGCTGTTAGTTGGGAGAAAGAGCAGAGCAGAGTTTAGGGCAGGGAACATGAGAGGCCCAGAGGGGAAGAGAAAGGAGGCTTACAGTGTTCTGCTCCCCATCTCTTGGCATCTTTCACCTCCCCATGTCTCAGGGTCATACAGGAGAATCAAGTTCTGTGGGGCTTGGGACACACACCCTTGGGGATCATCCCAGACTTCATGTGACTCTTCAACCAGCTCTTCTGATTTGAACTCAGGAGAGAGGAACCATAAAAAGAAAGGGTTAGACTGGGCTCAGTGGTAGAGTGCTTGCCTTGCATGCATGAGGCCCTGGGTTTGATTCCTCAGCACCACATAAGCAGAAAAAGCCAGAAGTGGCGCTGTGGCTCAAGTGGTAGAGTGCTAGCCTTGAGCTGAAGAGCTGAGGGACAGTGCCAGGCCCAGAGTTCAGGCCCCACAATTGACAAAAGGAGGAAAGGAAGAAAGAAGAAAGAAAGAAAGGAAGGAAGGAAGGAAGGAAGGAAGGAAGAAAGAAAGAAAGAAAGAAAGAAAGAAAGAAAGAAAGAAGGATAATATTGCATTCATTAGCTTTGAGATTCAGGAGAGGAAAATGCTCATTCATTCCTCTAATATTTGATTCAGTTATCACTTATTGATTGGTGAACATTTATTGAGGTCTACTGGAGGCTAGATACTGCTGAGTGTTGGGAGAATGGTAGCCGCCACAGTTGTTTACCAAGGCTTATGTGCCAGGTGCTTGAGAATTTTTTTACCTTGCAATGAGCCTGTCTTCAAGTCTGTGCATAAATGGCAAAAAAAGATCCCAAAGTATGGTGGGATAAGATAGGTTGAATCAGAAATGAAATAAGCCAAAAGTCAAATTATCCCTCTAAAAATTTATGAAATAAACTACCCAAGTAGGAGTTGTAAAAAAAAAAGTAACTTCACAGCTTTAGATGGGAAAGCAATGGTGTTATAGGTAGCTGTGAACTCAGAGGAATTAACTGAGTATGGCTTCTTAAATGCTAACACATTGTAAGCTCCAAGGTTAGGGGTATAGCTCAGTGTCAGAACACTTTCCTAGCACTGCAAAAACAAAAACAAAAACAAGTGTGGGCTTCATTAATAGAGATGTAGTGCACAAACCCAAAGAGGCTGTTCCATTTAATGATTTTGTCTTCTTCCCTTAAGCCACATTTGGGGAAAGGCATAGAAGAATACATTAGTGGAAGGTCTAGGAATAATATCTCATGAGATGCAGGTGAAGAAACTAAAGCTGCAGAGATAGGAAAGAAAGAGAAGGAGAAGGCAGCAGCAGCTTAGAGGAAGCAAAATGACAACCCTTTAGGAATAAAAAGATTACCATGGGTAAAAGACATGATATATTTGTGTGGTCTTAGAGGATAAATCTATGCATAAAAGACATAGATAATTGCTGTTATTATTGGATAGTTCTTGATACTACTTTACCCATTATTGTAAATCTCTAGGAGAGAGCTGCTTAAATCCCCATTTTACAGATGAGCAACTATCTTATATTGCTCCTTTGGTAGATTTTAGATGAATTTGAAGATCTTTTAAAGACTAAGGATGGAATGGGTAAACTATCAAGTTCTCTATGGTCAAGAACAACTTAGGTAATTATTTAGGAAAGTGAAGGAGGGATTTGAGCATGTCCAGGGGGAGAAAAAGTAGCCATACAGGGAGAAGGTATCTGGTTGAACCCTAGCCTTCTCTCCAATCTTGCTTGCACTCTGAACATCAGCCAGAACTCTGGTGTCACATTGCCTGAAAGAGAACCCCAGCCTTGCCTCTTATTAGCTGTATGACCTTGGGCAAAGTCATCACATCTTTCCTCAGGCTTCTTTATATGTTAAGATGTCACTGTCTTGGAAAATGGGGACAATAATAGTTCATATGTTGTAAAGCTGTTGGGGGAGGCTATAGGCAATGCAGATAAACACAATAAACCTTAGTTACAATTATTACTAGTTATCATTTATGTGTTACTAGGGCCTTGAATATGCTAGGTAAATACTCTCCTATGAAGCTAAATATGTAGTCTTAGTGAATTTGATTGCACTTGACTACTGTAGATAATTCATATATGAGTTATATGATGTTTTGCTTTTCTTTTTAAGCTTTTTTCAATATTTATTAAATATTTTATT